TTTTTTTTTTTTTTTTTTTTTTTTTTTTTTGGGACTCTCAGAGAAAAATTTGGTATTAAATTATTTAATTAAGTTGTAATTTATCATAAATTTTTAATCATCAATATTCTTATTTATATGTTAATTTACTTTAATTTTTTAAAAAAATATTATTTTTCGGAGAAAAACGTGGAGAAAGCTGAATATCATGGCATCGAGAGTATCGTACAAGTTGCTGACGGACTCGGTATGTAGGCTTACCATATATCAACTTTGCACCTTTCTCGGATTGATTTTTTATCGCAGCTGGTGTTTTGAATACGCGTCATATGCTTGAGCCTGACATGTGCCGAAAATGAGCGGCAATTTCGCGAGAGGTTTAATGCGGAAAATAGTAAGGAAAACCACTCGCGGCTTCGCCTCTCATCAGGTCTCTTATCGTCTTTTTAAGCCGCCAGCCACAAATGCTATATCAGAAACGCATTGACATAGAAAACGCAAACTATATATGTTTAAAACTGATATAATTCCTGCCTTGCAGCGCCCCTTGCCGCGTTGATTGGATACCACCAGAAAAGATTTCACGTAGCAATTAATGAAAAGGAGAGATTGATAGGAACTAACGCCACGAGTTTGTTTTAGTTGGGAATACTCAATGCACAGGGCAAAACAATCGAGGGCACGCACCGTTGAATTTAGACTTTTATTGATTTGATTTCTACTGCAGTCTTTATTTACCTTTGTCATTACATTACACAGCTTTAATTATAAGCCTGCTAAAATAAGCTATAATATTGTTGAGTCTGTAAACTTTTTTCGTGACAGCGGCCAGCAGCCAAAAGGACACTCACCCTGGTTTCATGACTATCCAGTGCGACATGGTTAACTATATTTCGCATTACTTCATATTGAATCAGAGACAACTAATGGCAATTTTAATTTGAATAGGGCTATTGTTTGTGTCACTAACCGAAGTTTCGAGAACCTAAGCGGAAATCATAATTTTACCTTTCGCGAGGGAAGCTTTAGGAGATTTTTTTATCTCTCAATTAAGTAATACACGCACTGTTTTTCGTGATGAGTGATCGCTTGTTATGCATCTATCTTCTTTATTTACATACTATATTAGGTTTCAAAACAAATTATTTATGCTAGTCGGTTCTCACTCGGGAATATTCACACATTTGTGTGCAACGTCAAGTTAGAGAAATTCTTTAAATCTTTTTGGTACATGAGTAAACAATTTCTTGCTTTTTGATGGGAAATTGGATATGAGCTGAGAGTTAATCCCACTAGAAAGGAGCAATTAGACTGTGAAGCAATCATTAACCAAGTGGAAAGATATCCCATCACAGATGAATTGCCCGGTGGTTCATGAGGACGTCGTATTTACATTGCCGTAGTTTGTTTTAGCCTTCAACTGGTTCAGCCTGTTCCTATGAGAAAACTGATTATCTTAAGCCTTTGAGCAGACGAAATATTGGCTAAGGATGTCTTTCATGAAGATGGAAAGTGCTTGTTTACCATTTCATCCTGCATGTTTTCGAATGAGTGTCAACTTCCCTCTTCGCTTTCTTCAATTGCGTGATCTTTCCTCTACCACCCAGAAACAAATGCTATTTTCTATTTATGTAGAGCAAAGCATTTGTCCTTCGAGTAATGCATACGGATATATCTCAATCATGTATTGCTGGTTGCAGTTTCTCTTTGCGAGTATCTAAAAGTAAATATTTTATCCTACCTGCACAAGGGAAGAATACTGAGGATAGAATCAGAGCATTGACGATAAGTACAATCCATATTCTCATGATAAACCAAGATTACTTCCCCCTGGCACTAACTCCACTGACATGAGAAGTTAAGGAATAATTGCATCTGCGTTTAAGTCGAATTTGTCGGCGACACTAACCGACGTGGGTTTGCTTTCGAGGAAACGCGTTATATTTAGCTTAAGAGTTGCTGAATCGCTATGCATGTCAAAAGGTCAACTAAAACAAATGAGAAAACAAATATTGTCGTCTCCTGTCTGTCCGTATATTCAAAAAATTTTTGTAGCATTTAATCACAATTTCTGTCTTGTTTTAGAAGCCAAAAAAAGACATCATTCGATTTCTCTAAAACATGGACCCTGTTCTAAACTTACTGCTAATTGTGGCATTCTCAACCAACTACCAAAAAACAAATGCAAAGACGACTTCTGACGTTTCGACGCCTCTAGCTCATAAACTTTGAGGCCTTCCGATACAAGGTTAGCATGTTTGCCTCACGGAAAGGAAATCTCATGACAAGCGAGTTAGTTCCCATAAATCTGGTCCAGAAAGTGGTGTTCCTGGTGGAAGGGTAAGCAAATATCCTTTATAGAGAGCCCTCTTATCAAGATCACTCCTCCGTAAAAAGTCACCTTGAGATCAAATTGAGAGAAAAGCAAATTATTATTATTTCTTTTTTGCGTTGGAGAATCTTTCAAATAAACCGCAAAAGAGAGTGCTAATTTTTTTTTAAATACATGTACCATTTGTCGACTGAGTAGTGGCATGGTCGGCCCAGCCTCCTCCCATAAACGCCTTTAAGAGAATGGTAATCCACAGATTCTTGGTTTGCGCATCGTTACACAAGCCAACTATTTTAGCTTTCTGATGTATTTGAAATGTGAGCCTTTATTCGCACATTCTGCTACATGTATAATTTGGTACTTGACAATACACTTGATTAGAGATCTGTGGTGAAAAAAAAAAATTACATTCTAATCATGTAATCCATCCTCCAAGAGGGCTTTCCAGCCCAAAGCGGTTTCGCTGGAACTCCCGAACAACAACCCTCTGTTGTTTGTTGTTAGACCATAGGTCAGGTCTAATTTCTATGCATTTCCATGCCATAAAACGACACTGAAGTTTAACTGATCCGAAACTAGCCAAGTTTGTAACAAGGAAATATTTGTTTGGGCTGAACCTTGGACTTAAACGCAAAGGAGAAAGAACGACTGTATATTTCTGATTTTACAGGCTTGGATTTTCCCGTGAACTGTCTCATAACTATATGAATTCTCTAATTCGTATTCAGTGATGAAACGGTTCGCACTTTGAAGTCAGGCGTCTAGACTGCGTTGGGATGCCACCTTTTGACAAAAAAGAATAAATAGATAAATAAAACATATTTATACAAGACAAGACAAAACTTTTCCGGTCGATGCAGAATTAAACCGTTCTAAATTCATGATTTGTACTAACATCTCTTAAAGCGTGACAGGCCAGTTTCTTAGCTAAGTCCGTTTCGCTTGAGGGCTGGTCCTGACTTGCTTTGTTCTCGCCGCGCTTTTTTCTTTGAAGCTGGTTTCTATTGAGTTGCGCGATGATCAAAGCAGGAAAGAAGAACTCTCTTGGAACGGTCGATTTTTTTCTGAAACGCACATTTGGTTTAGTTTCTAAACTTTTGTTATATGAAAATAGAGAGGGACCACCTTGCTTTTGAAACCTAATCATTACTGTTTGAAACAATAGGAAAGCGGAGGACAACGGCAGCCGCTGGCTCGTGGGCCCTGATGTGTGATGTCGCACAAATGAATACATTTCCTCATCCATTGCTTTGTCGTTCTTCCGTGAAGGAGTGTGGTTTTTCCTAGCGGCACTTGAACAAAATGGTTCTAACCATACGCCGCGTTTTTTTGCTTTTAAGCTTGATTTTGCTCATCCAAAAGGCAGGTAGGTATCTCAACAGATCCTTTCGGCGAACATTCCTCTTGGCGCGAAAAAAACAACCTGTCATGAAACTAGCATGACTTAAGATATCAACTGACTGCATCCTTTTCATTTTGTTTGCTAGAATTTGCACAAACTATCACATCAGCACCGGAAAATCCATTTTTCGTTTTGAAAGGCAGCAACATCACTCTGGTATGGCAGTATAACTTTGGCGGAACGTTTAGTAATTTTTTCTTCCGACTCCCCGGCAGTCCTCCGGTCAATGTCGTAGACAAATTCGACATCAACGCAAATGAGTTGATTCCAGAGGCTTATAAAGGTCGCATCCAAGTAAACGTAACGACTTCGCTTACAGCTATAACGTTCCTAGATGTACAAAGATCAGACAGCGGAAAATACGAATTTGAAATATTCACTTTTGTAGGGGAAATTAGCCCTTAGGGAATAATGAAGTTGCAAACCTTAAATGCTGACTTGAAGAAGTAATTATAAAATCAATTTGCAACGTAGGACTGGCAATTTCTTACACTGCACATAAATGCTTGCTGTCTTTGTCGCATTGCCACACTCATTACTGGCTTCACACTTGTATTCTCCAGCTTCAATCCTGCTGATATTCATCCGCTCCAACACATTTCCAGCAATACTCCGACCATCAGACTTAATCCAAGACACCACTGGTGGAGGCATTCCAGCTGCAATACACGTCAGAGTCACATTGCCACCTTCAGTTACGTTCTGATCGTGTAGTGTTTCATTATATGAAGGCACAACAAGTACTCACGACAAAAATCGAATTCCACTGTGCGATTTGGTGCAGTTCCTATTCCATTAGATGCTTGACAGCGATATGTTCCGCTATTATTTCTATTGTTTTCGAGGACAAACTGATTCCCAGTTGCCAGTATATCACTGTCACTTCCGTTAGCATAGACTCTGGTCCAGGTGATGTTTGGTGTTGGTTCCCCATCTGCGGTACACTCGAAAGTAATACTGGGGTCACTGTCACTAACAACTACATCATCACTGACACTAGTTAATTCTGGTGGATCTGATTAAAAAAAAAAAGAGGGAAAAATTAACAACTGAACCAGTTACAAGTACGCATAATACTTATACAGCTTGTAATGGTGTGTTACCAGTATTAGCATGCTTTTAAATTAGGTCGCGTGAAACCTTTTTTTA